CGCGCACGCATAGGCGCCTTTGTGCAGCCAGCAGTAGGTGTCCACAGCCACCGCCAGCCCCTTGTACTTCTTCACGTGGGAAGGCTCGGCAGCCTCCTTGATGAACTGCAGCAGGCCCTGGATCCCCATGGCGCCGCTTGAGCCGGGGGAAAGGAGCCTCGATCTTCGCTCACGGCGCTTCGGGTCGGGCCGGGCCGGGTCGGGTCAGATCAGGTCTGGCTGTGCCGGGCCAGGGGCATGGGAGGCTCCTGCGGGTGCCCCCATAAACCTGGGCTCGGCGGCTCTGCCTCGGCGCGGGCCGGCACTGCCCGGGGAGAGGGGTGAGAGAAGGGAAGGGGGGACGCAGAGACGCGAGCAGCGGCCTTGGTTGGCTGGCTGGCTGGTCGGTCGGTCTGTCCCTGGTGGCTCCTCCGGCCCGGCCCGGCCCGGCCCGGCCCAGCCCCACGCAGTGGCTGCGCGCGGCTGCCCGCCGGCACTTTCAAGCAGCGCGCGCTTCAGGGCGGTAGCCCCGCCCCCGGCGCGCGGAGAGGGGGAGGGTGGGCGCCATTATGGCGCGAGCTCCACCCCCCTGTGGGCGGTGTCTGTGCCCTCCGGGAGGGGAGCGGAGGGGAGTGTCGGGATCTGTTTGGGATTACATGAGAGCCTAAGCGGGGGATCCTGGCAGTGTCGGGTTTGCCCCCGGCGCTGAGTACCGGCAGTGCTGGGCCGAGGTTGAAAGAGAAGGGATGAAGGGCAGCGTAGCGGAGGGAGAGCCGCGAATGCGGGCAAGAGCGGTTCTGAGGGGGAGCGACACTGAAGGGTAAACGGTGACGTTGGCTGCTTGCAGTGGAAGTGCCGATAATTCGAGCATTCGCAAAAATACTGAAATACATTCCTCACACTGAAGCAGAATCACAAAATAGCACAGAATTGTTAGGGTTGGAAGGGACCTCTGGCGACCATCCAGTCCAACCCCTCTGCCAAGGCAGCGCCACCCAGAGCGGGTGGCACAGGGACGCGTCCAGGTGGGTTTGGAATACTGAGACATGACCTCCTCTCCATGACCCCACCGGGCAGCCTGTTCAGTGCTCTGACATCGTCAACATAAAGAAGACCTTGCTCATGTTGATGTGAAACTTCTCGTGTTTTAGTTTACGGCCACTGCTCCTCATCCTGTTGCTGGGCTCCGTTGAAGGAGTCGGGCACCACCCTCTTGACACCCACCCTTGAGATATGTATATGCATTGATTAGATCCCTCTAGTCTAGACTAAACAGGCACAGCCCCTGCAGCCTCTCCTCATAAGAGAGATGCTCCGTGACAGGCAGTGAAGACAGCACATGGATAACAGCAATGAACACGAATATTATAAATATTAAATACTGTAAACAGCAGTGAACCTCTGGTGTTAATGTACGAATGGATGGTCAAAGTTACAATTATGTAATAAAGGTGTTGTTTTTTTTTTTTTTTTTTTTTTTTGTTAACATAAAGGTATGCCTGCATAAATTAAAATAAAATTTACAGTGAGAAATATTTGTAGTTCGATATCTACCAGGCAACAGTTTGTTTTTCTACTTGCCATTTTGAAGTCTGTACAATTCTTTGGTATTTTGGCTCAGTTACATGGATGACTCAGCCATCA